TTTACAGATATTCCGTTTTCCTGGTTGATAACAATAAACTATCAATATGTCGGGCGTGAAATGTTCACTACAATATGCACGGATGAGCACTGGCTGGAAGCGTAATCCTATACAAATAGGATTACGCTTCCAGCGAGAACTCGAGTACGTAGAATCGGTGAGCTGCCCAAATGGCCAAGAATACGACGTAGACGATAGATCTCCGCCAGCTCCGACTCTACAAACTACAATGTCAATACCTCGTTCGTCGACTCTTAAAGACTACTGAAACCGACAGATTAACCTCTGCGTCACTACCCTTTTCGGAACACTTGCTAGACGAGAATGCAAAACGTCAGTTTTGGTATTTCGCGTGCATTACTGAGCACAAAATAAGCCTCACATGGTTCTATAAAAAAAATGAGCGGTATACTAGGCCACCACTGCGTCGAGAAACACCCCTTTTAGAAAAAGTCTGGAACGATTCAGCATCTCGCGAGCCTCGAGTGTGCACGTAGCCAAAAGCACGACAGAAAGCAACCATTACGTCCGGCCGTCTCGCTGCCGAGCGCGCAGCCTCAGCTTCATAGGGCAATCTCCTTTTACGTGAACAAATATCCGCTAGACAGGCCGAGCACGCGCCCAAACGGCCCAACGTATCCAAAAGGCCGCCACGCCGCACGCACCACTCCAGCAACGCAAGCGCACAGCACACTGCGTACAAAGAGTGAGGGGCATTTCCGCTTGCGCCACCTGCGCCCTGTCCGTAGGGGACACCGTAGTGCGCTGCGAACACACGAAAAACGCGAGACGTCAAGAAGCCAACGCCGCGTCGATGAAAGAGAGAGAAAGAGAAATTTCGTCTAGACGTCCGAGTAAAAAAATAGTGTCGACGAAATGTAGCAAGCTGTGTCGAGCATCGAATGTCGAAGAAGCGATCTGCGGATGACACATCGATGAAACAAATGTTGAAGAAACGATCTGCCAATGAAACATCGCAGTGTCGATGAAACGATCTGTCTATGAAACCTTGTTCGATGAACTGATTGCCATTATAGAACTGCGCACCAAGAATGACACGGCTTGCCACATGAAAGTTGGGGTGCCCTACGTGATCAAGAGCGCGACAAAGAGACACACGGGGACGACCCCAAACCCCCAAACCACTCCAAACCAAACCAAGCAAAGCCGTGCCAAACTAATCCAAAGGAAACCAATTCAAGGACGGCTGCATGTATCAAGATAATAAATGCTGACAGTATTTTATAAAGGCCAAGAGGACTGAAAAACAATGCCGGCCGATGACCGGCAAGCACGGTCGATCAACAAAAGCAGAAGCAACTCGAGTGAAAAAGAAAACTCGACCTCCGCGGCCTCTGCTCATAGAATAGCATACGACTGACGGACACCACTGCCAACAAGGATCATGGTGAGATTTCGAACCAGAGGTACATCATGTGAATCCACCTTACCTAATATTAACGCCCTTCCATAACAGGAAAAAAAAAACATTGGTCGATGCATATGTTTACTATATATATATGCTGCTTAAACTTCCGTATAAATACATATGGGTGGCACAAAAAAAAAACGGGGGTGATAAATGTAATAATCGTTTATTTGTGTACATATGAGCGGGATATGCACAGCGCGGCGGTGCTCTAATCACTGCGACGTTGTCAGCGTAACCTGTCGGAAGGCGCGTTTGTTTTACCGCCGCCCTTGTCAGAAGGCGAATGTTCAACACTCCCACTTTCGACAGCTTGCATTTATAGTTTCTTTCGTAATTAATCCAGGTTAATGAATTTTGGTAGAAATGAGAGCAGCATAAACATAGACATAGTACATTTCTTTCAAATTGAATAAGCTGTTCAGAAGTTTACTGCTTTGGGGTAATTTCCCCACCGCACGACTCACGCGAAAACAAACCAACGACTTGCGAGAAAAAAAAAACACGAAGAAAGCAACCTGTAAGCGTGATGACCTGTGAGTGTGATGAGCGTGAGGACCTGTGTGAGTGTGAGGACCGTGAGGAGCTGGGAGTTTGAGGACCTGTGAGTGTGAGGACTGTGATCTGTGAGGACCGTGAGGACATGGGAGTGCGATGAGCATGATGACCTGTGAATGAGAGTTCCGTGATGACCTGTGAGTGTGAGGACTGTGATGTGTGAGGACCATGAGGACATGGGAGTGCGATGAGCATGATGACCTGTGAGTGTGAGTTCCGTGATGACCTGTGAGTGTGAGGACTGTGATGTGTGAGGACCGTGAGGACATGGGAGTACGATGAGCATGATGACCTGTGAGTGTGAGTTCCGTGATGACCTGTGAGTGTGAGGACCGTGAGGAGCTGTGAGTGTGAGTGCCGTGAGGACGGTGATTACCTGTGAGTGTGAGGACCTGTGAGTGTGAGTGCCGTGAGGACCTTGATGACCTATGCGTGTGAGGACAGTGAGGCCCTGTGAGTGTGATGACATGTGAGTCTGATGAGTCGTGATGACCTGTGAGCGTGACGAGCGTGACGACCGGTGAGCGTGACGACCGTGATTATCTGTGAGCGTGACGACCGTGATGATGACGGCCAGTGAGTTTTGGTTTTGTGTTGAACCGTGAGGGTGAGTCCGGGTGATGACCCTATTTTGAATAAATCGTGATCGTGAGTGGGCGTGAGTTCTGATTGCGGAAAAAATGGTGATCGTGAGTTTGAGTGAGGACAGCTTAAAATGCCGAACTATGGTCGTGGATGCGAAGACGGCACCTACGCTGCCACCACCACACTTGTTTCCGCCGTTTTTCGTTGTCGCCTTTGTCGGTATATTATCGAGGAGTGTCCTGTATTCCTCCAGTAAAGTATTTCATAGTACCCTTGGCTGGCTTGCAGTCTCTCGGTGTCCATGAAGTAAGCACGAGTGATTGCATGCCTGCCAAAGATACCTCCGCGAGCATGCTGCATGTGTGTGAGGCTTGTCGGTGTCTGCTGTTTGTGTTTGACCCACTAGTCCAAGGGTGCACAACATGTGCGGCCCGCGGACGTGACACTGCGAGATATGGTCGAGACGAAACCAGTGTGATGATGCCAGATATTGAAAACCTGTCTGCCAGTTATTAAAAACCTGCGTAGTTTCCCATAAACATTCTAGTGTAACGTTACTAGATTAGCTCAGTTGCGGAACTCCGGCGGAGGGAGGTATTCCCGCTCACCCCCTTCAGTCCGTTTCCTCCCGTCGTTCGAAGCGCCATCCAAATTTTCGTTTCAGAACTGTGCGTTCCAAAGAGTTCGGTGAAACGCCATTTAGACGCTCTGCTTCAAAACATAGGTGTTCTGTAAAATACACTGCAGTTACTATAGCAGCCTACCCCAAAGCGGTCGGGCGTCCAACGACGGGAGGCGGGCCGGGGGGTACTGCTGGGCAGAAACAGCGTCTATAAGCAGTTCCGTAACTGTGCTAATCTAGTAATATTGCTATTGGCGACGTGAGCGATCAGCAAAGGACTTCCCATCGACGGAAATAAGAGGAATGGAAGAACTTCAATTTTGACGGTGTTGGCGGTGTTGGTTTGAGAGTGTTATGATCTCAAGCTTCCACCATGCTCTTTACAAACACCTTCAAACTTGTTGTTCACTAGGCAGTGACGTCACGAAAGGTAACCATAGGAGGGCGCCACCAAAACACCTCGCCTAGGGTGCCTACATGTCTGTCTGTCTCAGGGTGAAGACATCCATTGTTGCCCTGAATGTGCCAGCGCGTGACGTTCTCGCGCACTCGGTGCCTGACTTGGGCGGTAAAATGGCGTCTATGCATTAGCCAAAGCTACGCGCTCGAGCTGAGTGACACCGGATCGCGCGCACTTCAAAATGCATAAAAAAACGATCGGGCGGAAAAATGGCTGAGATGTCACCACTCACGCAAAAGAGCGCGTGTGTATGAAGGCACTCTAACCTCGCCTATCTCGCCACCAATAGTGCAGCTCGGGCAATACGAAAGCAAACACAGATTTTGCAGCTTCGTGTCGCGAGCTTCACGCGCTATGTGCGCGGCCAAAAGCGTCGCTGCGGTCAGCTTTCCGCGATTGGCCAAACCATGGGCATATGAGCACTGTCAGACTGTCAACTTTGACGGTGTTAGTTTCGGATTGTGATGGCTCCTAGCTTCTATTGTGCTTTTTAAACACACCATCGAACTCGTCGTCGCCCTCGATGGTAAGTAGCCAGAATAACAACTGGTGACGTCACGGCGAGGCAAATCCCAGTCGTGACGTCACGAAGGGAAACAATAAAAGGGCGCCACCAAAACATCTCGGCGCTAATAGGGGGAGTTGACCAGATGCCGAGAACAGTCAGAAGAAAACAACAACAAAATAAAACGGAAGAGGCAGGAGAGAGGACGCCGAGATCCTGGGGACGCTTCGAAAAAAATTCGCGAGCTGCCAAAGATTTCCAACACAAAACAAAAATTAAAAAAACGATACAAAAAAGTCGTTTACAACTCCCTGTAACGCCGAATTAGAGCGCAGCTCTTGAGGAGGAGGATGGAAGGGTACCAGGGGAGGATATACCCCTCTTCCCTCCTCCTCACCTCGTTATCCTGCGTGCTAGTCCGCCACGGGGGTTACGTGACCTCACAGGGGCCCCCGTGACGTCAGGGGTCACGTGACATCGGGGGGGAGGGGGGTCACATGACCTCACGGTTGCGCCGACGCCGACGCCCGGCGAAAGCGCCGGCCGTCCTTTCCGCCGGGGGAGAGGGTGTGGGGGCCAGTTTCCGACCGAAAATCGGGGCGCCGGAGCCGAAATGAGCCAAACGAGGATGTCCAACGTCTCCGGTACCGGCGAGAGACCGGCAACGCCGGCGACCCTCCCCATCGAGGGACGGCCAATCACAAAATAGAAAATTTTCGCTGAATCTGGCAGATTCTCCAAAGTTAGGTGACCATGGGCACGGCTTCGGCAGGGGGAATTCAGCGTACTGTGCCCTAACGACGAAGCCAACAAAGCTCTTTTCGGGAAGAGGGAGGCCAGCGAGACGACGGGCGCATTGTGTGATGTTCACGGCTCTTGAACAACGGACATACAGAGATTTGGATTTACCGCTGAGCTGCTGCTCGAAATGGTGAGACAACATCGTTTCCTTTGCGATAGACGTAAATGCGATTTTAAGGAAGAACAGCCGAAGCAAGAAAATACGGTCGTCGATCATCGGGGACGAAATGCGGCGTAAGGAGTGATTGATGTGAAACGTGCTCGCGGTGGGTCTTGTCGTTTTTGTTTCGAAACGTGGAGACAAATAAAATGTTTTCAAACATGCAAGATCGTTTTCGGCGACCCGAACGCAAGCTCCAAGAAACAAAACAGTTGTGGCTGCGCCCATCGACGCCGATAGTCCGCTACTTTTGGTGGTCGACGCCGCCACAAAGCAGCCACAAGTACGGGATTACAAGATTGGTAGTAGAGATAGAGGGAAGTGGTAAAATTGCGCACGAAATAATAGGTTATACCGGTTATACAGTTTTACGGGATACAAACGTTGGACGCGGAATTTGAAAGGTGCGGAAAGATTTCTAGGCTAGGTGGCGCAAGCTACCGCCCAATATAAGGGGACCCAGCCGCCAGCATCCACCTATTCCTATAACCACCACCGGCGGATAAGTCGCCGCTCGTTCGAACACTCCGTTTTCGGCACGGCACCCACGGCGCTTTCGCCGGGACGGGGCGAGAGGCCGGCTGTGTGAATGAAGAGCTGCGCTCTAAAAGATGACGCGGCGGTGCTAAGATACACGGCGGCGCTTGCCTGGCAAGCCCAAGCTGGGCGTCAGGGTCCACTGCGTTCCTCATAAAACGCAATTCTGCATATGAATGTTTTATCGCTAGATCGAGATAGAGCCGCAAATTTGTTTGAGTAATAATAAGCTCAATAAAGCTCAACCACACAACATAAAAGGCATCCATTGCTACTATACAACACTGTTTTACAAACGAGAGGACGCGCTTTGCCTTCTTAGAACGCAGCTCTTAGGCGCTTTTTTCCGGGTTTCGCGGCGTCGGGGTAACCGCCCCACTAAATTTAGTGGAAAATTGAATTAGTGCTGAAGTCACGTGACGTCAATTCTCCCGCCAAATTTAGCGGGGAAAATGACGTAACATGACTTTGTGTCACGTCACCCATTAACAAATTCAGTTTCTCTGCTATATTTAGTGGGAGAACTGACGTCACGTGACCTCAAAACCAATTCAGTTTCCCCGCTAAATTTAGCGGAGAAAACGACGTCACATGACTTCGTATTACGCCACCCATGAACAAACTCACTTTCTCCGCTAGATTTACTGGGAAAACTGACGTCACGTGACCTCAACACCAATCTGAATTCTACGGAGGAGGGACATACCTACCCTCCGTACCCTCACCTACTCCTCCTTAAGAAATGCGCTCTAATTTCGCGTTACAGGGATTTGTAAACGTCTTTCATAATTATTAAGCATGGCCACCAAAGGGGTGTATCCCGATCTCTTAATCATATAATAAAAAAAATGCAATATGTTCATAAACACACATGTGGAGGGTCCAGCACTGCCAAAGAGCTCAAAAACCACTGAGTGAACAATCCGCTTGGCTGCTTTTTGATGAGGTTAGTGGCGTTGGCCAAACGACAGTGAGTTAACACATCGAAATCAAGTTCATGAGAGGTACATCGTGGTACGCACCATTTTTTAAAGCAATACAATTTTTCTGGGCGCATCAAAAAGCCATCACAAAACGAGTTATTGAGCTTCTCATACCTCGGCGAAAACCTGAATTGTTTATTTTTTTCTATAATTTGAATCGTATTCTTTTTCTTTTTTTTTTTTTTAGTATATCAGAGTTTGACGGTTACATCTATAAACCCAATTCTTTTTATACCACTTTTATTGCAGTCGACAATAGGTGGCAAAACCCAGTTAAACTCAGGATGCAACATCTTGTTAATTTCGCTTGGGGGAGGGGGGGAGCAATATTGAGACAGTCGAAATACTAGCGCGTGGGCAAACGAATTTTTGGAATCAATACCTTTTGGACTTTTCTTAGTAGCGTTCCTTAGGTGGTGGTTCCCATCGCAAGTAATTGAGCAACAGGTTCACTCGAAACTTGTGAAGAAAGGTATTCATGGAGTTGGAAGTGTCCTGATCGCTTTCGTGGGGACACTGGGCTGAGGCTATAGATAGAAGTTAGAACCAGATTGCTAACTTTGAATCATCGAGGCAAACGAACCGCCCCTTCATGGTCCTCCAGCTTTTCAAATGTTAATTAGTTTCTTTGTTTGTTTGTTTTTTTATTTATTTATACAAGGTGTTTCAGCTAACACGTGCCAAGACTTAAAGAAAGCTGGTGCACGCTAAGCATGTTAAACCAATACAGTACTGCTCACAGTTCTACTGAGCATGTCAAGATCGTCTTGCAATGTGCCAAACTGGCTATTAACAGAGATTAAGTAACTACATTTTTAAATATTAATTTGTGCACAATCTCTTCAATACAAGTTGCAGGGCGTGTTGAGAAACATCCCATCGTATCGTTTCCATAAAGCTCGCCTTTGCTGTTCTGCGCAAGGGCTACACTTATACAATAAGTACTCACAACGTAGTCAAATGCAGTCAAACGCTGACCTGTGTGAATGGTCTTCAAAGGCACACATTCACCTTGACCATGTTCTATTCTTGGTCTTCGCGTTCTGTGAGAGCGCCAGGAATTCGCCACATGGCCCATGGAATTCAACTAATAAACAGCAGCGCGGGTGCACACTTGTCTGCGGTACTCGAGGACCAAGAGTTATGCACCAAAATAAAGTGTTTGGTCAGCACTGTTGGGTGTACGAGGGCGAGTGCATGGCCTGAACGAGTGCCGTGCAAACAAAGGTTTCAACAGAACGGCGATCTCGCGTTTTCTCCTTGTATAGTATTCAAAACAACCTGACCGATAAAGTTACAGCACGAAATTGATGCTAACAAGGCCGTTGGACCTGATGGTATTTCTCCTGCTATCTTCCTTAAGTGAAGGTAATCTGTAGCATGGTATATATTCGTCATATTCAGTGAATCTTTGAAGACAGGGGTGGTTCCAGTGGATTGGATGACGACAAGCGTCAAACCTGTTTCTAAATCTGGATCTAAAGCCAATGTTCAAAATTATCGCGAAATTTCGGTGACATCAATCTCGTGCGAACTGTTTGAACAAACTATTTATAGTAACCTCTATTCCTTCTTGGATTCGAAGCCTTTTTTTTCCCCTCACAGCACGGTTTTTGTAGCGGGTATTCTTGCAACACACAGTTGGTGACTATTATCAGCAGATATACAGATCATTAGATCACAAGAAATATGTTGACTGTGTGTTCTTAGATTTTAGGAAAGCATTTGATACGGTTCCACATCAGCTATTATTGCACAAATTGGCTGTGCGAAACATAGATCGCAACGTTCTGAACTGAACACGGAATTATGTAGAAGGTCGAGAACAGCGTGTTGTTCTAAATGGTAGTACATCCACACTAACCCTGGCTACTTCGGGAGTGTCACAAGCAAGTGCTTAGGATCATTTTCTTTTTGTCCCTTATATAGATAAATAATAGCACCAAAAATATAGTCTCATATTAAACTATTCACCGATGGTTGCGTATATATTGGTAGATAAACTCGTCCGACGACCTTGGCTTATTGCAAACCGGCATAAGCATTTTATATATTTGGCGTAGTCAGTGAAAAATTAGCTTAAATTTGAATAGATGTAATCATATAGGTTTCTTGAGAAATCAGCCACACGCCTTTCAAAGCAACCTAATCAACGGTACCATCCTAAGCACTGTATCCGAGTGTGCTCACTTAGAATGCTACTTGCAGACTCCCTCAACTTGAGCAGTCATACAGAACGAACAATAGGAAAAGCCCAAGCGATTGTTTTTATTTTATCTGTAGAAATTTTAGGTCCCCGTGACGCAACGTTAAAAGAAGCACCCTACTTTTTTTTCCTACGAACGATCCTTGATTACGCGTGCGTCCTGTGGGACTCATATCACGACTTATAAATAAACTTGAGAAAATTCAGAACCAGACAGCGCGCTTCGTACTCAACGGCTATTATCCTTATGTTACAGAAATTAATGCTATATTGAAATGGGGAGCGCTCGGATGCAGAATAAAAAAAGTAAGATCAAAATTCTTCAATCGTGTATTTCATAATAAAGCAGGCATTCATAAGGCCACTATCTTTTGGAGCCATGCTACGTCTTCTGCCGTTGCAATCATTTTAAAAAGGTTGCTGTACCCAGGTGTAGAACAGACATTTTTGACAATTCATTCTTTGTTATAACCGCGATTGAGTGGAATGACCATCCGGAAGATTTTGTGTCAGTTCACGATAACGACTTACTCTTTTCTCGCTTATCATAGTGCACCCTACAATAACGCCCACAGGGCGATGTAGGTACATCGTAAATAAAAATAAATAAATAAATAAAAACAAACCCTCAAACCGCTCGAGCAGCGAATCCTCAAATGCTGGGTGGCGAATCATATTTTCCTCGTAGTTTACGTTATTTTTAGGATATCGTATTTTCGCAGTTTATTTTTCGTCAAATTCAAAGTGTTTTTCGTCTTGCTTTTTTTTTTTTTTTTTTTCAAAATTTTGGAGATTTTTGGGGGTTTTTTTATTCTAAATTTTCTGAAAATCAGAGTTTAATTTCGCAGTGTTTCCTATTAAAAATAAATAAGTAATATCCGGGTGTTAACGTATGCTAGATAAAAAAAAAAATAAAACGCGCTTGTATCAATCGAAATTTCTTCAGCTGGATTTCGCCTTGGTGCCATTGTTCCTCGACAAAAGTTGCACACAAGTGTTGCTTCGATAAACATCTATGCCTTCAAATTAATAAACTCCTGGAGGTAGTCGATGGGAAGGTCGTATTCATTTCATCCTATTCGATCGACCTACCCCGCGGCCGCTCGAGTTGGAGTAGTCAAAGATGAAATGGGGAACTTTGCACTGCCCCTCTTCCCCATTTTATTCAATATTTATGGTCCATAGCTTTCACTGTTACAAAAACACAACCTCTCCTTCCTTTAAAGCAGAAACAGTATGACATA